CTTTTGCCCTGGAGTTTGAAGCAAGAAAAGGGAACGTTTGAGAAATCAGACAGATCCGATCTTATCTTTGCTGCCTGAACTTGAGCTTTTGAGCTGGTTGTCGGTGCTTAGTCCACTTTAATCCTGGTGGCTTTACTGTGGAATTCATCTGGGGTGTAATTTTAATGTAAAACTAGGTTAAGTGTCTTGTCTCAGTGGCTAACTATCAAAAATGTTGTTTAGGGTGATTACTTCCATTACAATTGTACTCATTATGCACTTTCTAGGAACCTCTTGCAAAAGCCCAGCACGTGTTGCACAGTTCACAATGAAAGAAAGATTTACTCTTTGAAAAATGTGAACTATCAGAAATGAAATATTGTTCCTCTGACCAGTTCAGCTTCTATTGCTCACAAACAAGTAATGAATCAAGAAAAATGTGGCATAAAAATTTAATTTGAGACCTACACAAAGTATGTTTGTGTGCATTTCATTCCCCATCAAACAAAAGGAAATGCTTGACTTTCTTTGTGTTTGGGCTGTTGGACCACATAGGAGAACATCTTGCAGTACAAGGCAATATAGGTAGAAGGAAAAGGGCGGAAAGCTTAAAGCTGAAATTGAAAGATGTTTTTCAGTTGTGGTGTCTGGAATTAAAGACTTAAAAGTCAAAATTGTTGTCAAAATAGCACATTTTTCAAGATTTTTGGTTTGAATTTTTATGCTTTTAACAATATTTATACACCATATGATTGTTTGGGGGCGGCACGGTGGCGCAACTGGTAGAGCTGCTGCCTTTCAGCAAGCAGGTTACCCTGGTTCAAATCCTGGCCCGGGGGCCTTTCTGGGTGGAGTTTGTATGTTTTCTCCGTGCTTGCATGGGTTATCTCCAGGTACTCCAGTTTCTTCCCACAGACCAAAAACATGCATGTTAGGCTGATTTGTAACTCTAAACCACAGGTCACTAACTCGGTCCGGATCCGGACCGAAATGATGTCTCATATAGACCTGAATCTATTCCCCCTGTGTCGGGAGCGTGCACTACTGCCAGACAGGCAGATCCAAGGTTTTTTATTTATTTTAGGGATGCACAATATTATCTGCATGGTATTGGTATCGGACGATATTGGTGTTAAAGTTCAATATCGGCCATTCCATTAAAATAACTCACTGATATAAAAGGCAATGTTTTTACCTGCAGCGGCAGCACAATATGATGACGTCACGCACACCTGCCTGATGTCACGACGGAGAGGTAATTTCAAAATGTCGGCGGTGTGCAAGTTTTATTTTGTTTTTTTGTTGTTGGTGAGGATGTTGGAATCCAAAGATCTGTGGACTACGTTGAGCCTTGCTACATTGTCCCCAGTCTGATATATTTTTCCAGCTTAACGTTACCCGAGTTACAAGCCGTCATTTCTGACGTCACTGAGAAGCTAATAGCCAATAGCACTTAGGTGACAACAAAGTTCATGCTCAATAATCCAGGTATACAATCCAACATTTTTCAGTCAGGTCATCTGGACAGTTTCTTATTCTGTGCTGAAACGTTTCGCCAGTTTGACACTACTGTCAACAAGGAAGAGGGCCGGCAATGGAGGAGGGGGCATGCCAAAGACACCATCTTAGCACCAACATAACTGGTTTGTTCCACTTTGGAGTAAGCTGTTGGAGGAAGAATCAGTTTTGTGTTGTGTGTGTCCTTGACTGATGAAGCCTTCTGGATTGAAGGCAAAACGTTTCAGCACAAAAAAAAATAAACTGTCCAGATGACATGACTGAAAAATGTTGGAGCACTTGTGTGAGTTTTACCACAGACATTTGGACGTCGTGTTAACCCCGTTAGCATGATTAGTCTTAGGGCACAATGTATAGACAAAAACTTTGATCTTAAAAAGTCTGTCCTTCATGCACAGGAGTGCAGAGGATCCCACACTGCAGCTAGGAACATGGAACAAGCCTCAACAAGTGAGACAGCATCGCAGGTGACTAATGCTAATAAATAACATTTAACACTTTTCATTTAATATAAGTTAAAGTGCTATGCATATCATATGGCTGCTACTGAATATATGTCACCAGCTCTTACAGCTGTTGCACAATTTTTGCAGCAAAGAAGCCTAAATAAGAGGAATATGTTCTGACAAATTAAAGTATATAAAATATGGTTATCGGCCAAATAAGTTTTAACATACCGGATATCGGCTAAAAATCCAATATTGTGCATCCCTAATTTATTTATTAATTTATTACTAGGAGCTGTAATTAAAATGAAAGCTACAACCTTGACACAATTATTCAGAGTCATTTTACCAAGAAATCTTTCAGAAACGCTGTGAAGACTGTTGGATTCGTGTCTCTGACAGCGGTGTGCGCTCCCGACACGTGATGAAGAACAGCTGGGTGAAGCAAGGCACTTGGAAATACCCCCCTTTTCCAGGAGCACAGCGCCGCCTCTGATGACATCATCGGCATTTTAACTCACCACTTACTTCCAGGAAAAAATGGATACAGATTACTATCTTGTTCTGCATTATCTACCTTTGGCAGTCGCCATTTTGAATTCTTCACATTCCGGCAACAGTGTCTGTTTTTTCCTCATCAGTTTCGGTAATGTTATCACAAAGTGAGTTTCAGCTCAAATTTTAAAGCTCTGTTCCTCACGTAGCATCTCTAATAGCGTGTTTAGCCCTTGTACAGGTTGTAATCTTTAAATACAATGAGATTGGATGTGCTTTACAGTATCAGCAACCATCTTCTAAAGACCCACGGTGCGGGAGGAGTGCTCCTCCGTTTCCAGGATTTGCCTCCTGAGTTTCCCTCGCCCGCTAAAACAATGATCTCATTGTTTTGAGAAATAACCACAAATAATAAAATATTTATTATGTTTATTACATTTTATATGTTGCTGATTTTATTTTATGCTGAACAGAATCAGGTTTTCATGAAGAGGATTGTTTTTTTGTTTTTTTTTAACCTAATCCTAACCAGAGATAAAGATAAACACTTTTTCTCGTTGTAACAATACATGCCAGAATGTAGTAAACCTAATTTGGATAGTGTTTTTCATTCTGTTCTTAAAGTACTGATGAGATTAATAATTTTGTACTGGTAAACTTAGTCAAATTTGAAATGCAGGCGGATGAGACCGTGGAAAGGATGGAGAAAACTGATCGCTGAGACGGAGAAGGTGGAGAAGCGGGGGAGTTAAACGGACACAAGGAGAAAACCAAGATATGGTAGCATCTAAATAAACAAAAAGTGGACGGTTAAAATAGAGTATTTAATCTGGAATGGACAGTCGTTTTTCTTTATACTTCCCACTGGTACTACGCAGTTTGTCAGATATGTTCAGAAACTGTGGCACTTATTAAAAGTGGAAATGTGAAACGCCATTATGAGACGAAGCATCAAAGTTTTGAACAAACATACCCATTAAAATGAGAACTAAGGTCAGAGAAAATACACAATCTCAAAGCCCAATATGAGCAGTCCACCAGAATCCTGAGTCATGCGTTCACTGAGTTGCTTTGATTTTGGGTCAGCACAAAAAGCCATTTACTAATGGAGAGGTTATCAAAGATTGCATGAATGCAGTTACTCAAACGCTTCTTGAAGGAAAAGAAAAACAGGAACTTTGCTAGAAAGTAAAGCAAATCCCCATGTCAGCGTCACCTGCAACATAAAAGTGAAATTTTGACGGATGTGCTAGCCCAACTTTTTATTTATTTTTTATTCATTTAACTCATTTATTCATTCATTTAAAAGAAACACATTAAACCAAACAAATTCATCAAAAGAAAAAAACTGAATGAAAAGGATGCAGAAAGAAGCAAAAAATAATAATATCTGCCCCTT